TCGATTCCCGGTCAGGGCACATGCCCGGTTGTGGGCAGCTGATCAGTGATTCTCTCTCATCATTGATGTTTCTCCCTCTCCCTTCCTCCCTGAAATCAGTAAAAATGTATATTTAAAAAAAAAAGCGTGAGATTGAAATGGTGTTTCTGCCCGCAGACGACGAGGACGGCATGGACAACGAGAGCCGGCCGCACTTCCCTCAGTTCTCCTACTCAGCGAGCGGCCGCGAGTAGGCCCCGTGCTGCTGCGTCGCTGTCGCCTGAGACTCACTCTGAGAACGGCTGCTGGACGTCGGACGGTCCCGGCTCCTCCACTCAGCAGGCGCCTCCAGACACCCCGACCGGCCCAGGCCTCACCCTCGCCGCCTCCGCCCGCCTGAGAACACACATATACGCAAATACACTCGACTTTTTGTTTTTTGCATGAAATTGTATCTCAGTCTAAGGTCTCATGCTGTTGCTGCTGCTGTCTTACTCTTAGAGCAACTTTCAGAGGTAACCTCACCGCCCTGGGAAGTCATGAGGCCGCCGCCGTCCACCCGCCCAGCAGTTGTCACCTCCTTGTCTTTCAGTCCTGGTTCTCCCCTGACAGCGGAGGGTAAATGAGATACACCGATGCTAGGTACATTTTTTTTTTTTTAACTCTCTAGAAGCTAAAGCAGAAACTAATTAGCCTGAGAAGACTTAGTGTATAATTCAGAAGGAGCGCTTGCGGAAGGGTGGCGGTGCAGGAGAGCCTGATTTCAGAGCAGAGCCTAACGTAGCCGTCGGCCGCTGAGGTCAGTTAGGAAGCATTTGCAAGGACCTCACGACTCGGTACATGCATCTAGGTGCCCGTTGGGTCCCGTAAAGGAAGCCGGGGGTCCCACGTGGACGTCCAGACCTCGCAGGCAGTCCCGGCAAACGAACATGGAAGGGAAGGAAGCAGAGGCACCGCCGAGTCAAGGTCAGCCCAAGGTCGCCGAGGGGATCGGCACCCCGAGAGCGTTGCTTCCCTCGTGCTTGGACACCGATGTCCGTGGTAATATTTCTCGCCGCTGATGGCTGAAGAATGTAGACAGGTGTAACGACCCTGCTTTTCACCAAAATGTGTGCACCCAGGTAAACGGGCGTTGGCCACAACGTGTGTTTTTGTTTTCCATTTCAGTTCCGTTCTGCGTGAATTAGCTTTTCCTCGGATGTTAGAACTTTGAATGTCCCGTTGTGATTTTGTTGATAATTGCAGTAGTATTTATTTTTTAGTGACGATACTTGTATGTCGTGGTAGCAAATGCAGCTCCAACTGAACACAGAGTAGACGGACTGCAGTTTCTTCGGGCCCGCGTGCAGGGGACGTCCTGCCGACAGGATTCGTGCACTTTTGCTCCTTTGGGAAGCGATTTTGACGAGACTCCGAGATGGGACTTGTGGGTTAGGATTTGGCGCTGGGAGAAGAGAAGCTGTCCTCCAACCCCTTGGTGCTAAGAATGAGAACATCCCCAGCTCCCCCACGCCAAGGGGCGATGTTTGCTCATCTGCGAAGGGAGGTGTCAGGACGGCCGGGCAACCAATGAAACGGCCCACGCGGAGACCTGAGTGGCGATCCACGAACCCCCTCGGCCGAATGAATGAACACATCTCAAGTGCTGGCGGAGGAGGCAGGTAGAGAGAAGAGCCTAGTGCGCTTGTCCTGCTCATGGTACACTGATCACTGACTTAAGCCATCAGGGAACACCACAGAACACAAAGGAACACCTCCGACCTCCCTCCTTCTGTACATACTCCTGCCCCCACGCTCCCCCGCCCCCACGGACAGGGGACGCGTATGCAAACCTCATCTTCCTCCCCCATCGACGACGATCTTCAGATTCAACCCTTTGGTGCTAGGAGCTGACACTTTCCAAAGCAGCCGATGAGACCCAGGGGCGGGGCCTGGAGATGTATTTCAGTTCCACTCCCTGACCGCTCCCACGGGGAAGACCGCGGCGTGACGTAGGCTCGTGACCGCACCGGGGGGAGGGCAGGCGACTTGGGAGCAGGATGCCTCATGCTCGCACGGAGCTGTCTTAGCCGCGACGCCGGGAGAGCGGACTCGCGGACAGGAAACCGCTGCTGGCGAGGGGGGGCCGCTGGGACTGCCGGGGGCTAAAGGGCATTTTCCTAAGGCAGCTAAGACATATTTCACATCGATTTTATCCTGATTTTTCATATTCCTCCCCGAGCGAGGTTCGTCCTTAGTGCTGAGTAGGAAGTTGCAGTCGTTGGCAGTTCACTCTTCCTTACACATATCGTTCCACCTTTTATTTTTTTTCCACTTGGAATTACGTTGAATGTTTCACATGGACCAGAAAGTAGACTAGAGGTATGTCTTGTAAGTTGTCTTGCATTCGTTCGATACAAAAACCAACCAACCAACAGGTGAGAGGAAGGGGAGAGAGCTGGGACTGGCTGCTCACGGCCTGGGCTCCCTTCGCGGGAGGTAGGACTCCACACACTAAGCACATTGGTAGCTTTCTTTTTGTTGTTGTTTTTTTTTTTTCTTTCTCCAAAAGTGAAGGTGATTCCCATGACCTTGGCCAAGGACGCGCCCCAGAGACCCACGGCAGTGCGGACAGTGCCCAGGCCGGCCCCTCCTCACCGCCGGCCCCGTCCCTCCGGTGCTCGGCCCGTCACCGACCCCCAGGACTCCCCTAGGGTCCCGCTGGCCCTTGGCCTC